AAAGAGACATTTCTGATATACCACTTGGCACTCCATCTTCTGGCACAGCCCCCAGGTTGGGTTTAATCCTTGTGATTTTAAGGCCTTTCGCCGCCCCTTCTTTGAACGGAGAGAGCTCCAGGAGGAAAGGAGGAACCTCAGTGGCTAATTCTACCCCCCACCCCACTCCTGAACCTGCTCCAATTCTTTCCGGGCACGAGAAACGGTGGCGGTGAAATTGGGGGGGGGGGAGGTCCCAAGCAGTACGTTACTGTGGTACCTGGTTCTCAAACTTAATCCGTTCCGGAAGTCCATTCCAAAACCAAAGCGTTCCAAAACCAAGGCGCGCTTTCCCATAGAAAGTAACGCAAAACGGGTTAATCCTTTCCAGACTTTTAAAAAGAACCCCTAAAACAGCAATTTCACACGAGACCATTGATCCATAAAATGAAAGCAATAATCAATGCACTGTACTATAAAATAAGTAAGATGGTACAGTGGTACCTCGGGTTACAGACGCTTCAGGTTACAGACTCCACTAACCCAAAAATAATACCTCGGGTTAAGAACTTCGATTCAGAATGAGAACAGAAGGCCCCATTAGCTAAAGTGGTACCGCAGGTTAAGAACAGTTTCAGGTTAAGAACGGACCTCCAGAATGAATTAAGTTCCTAACCCGAGGTACCACTGTATTGTAGATGATAAAAAAAAAATTCTTACCTGCACTGATGATAGTCAATGTTTGGATGGGGGGCTTTTATCCATTTCTGCAGTCAATCAATCAATCAATCAATCAGTAGCTGAACTGGGTTCCACAGTCACAAAAACTAGTTAACTGAAAAAGCCTCAAAAACAAAAACGCAAAATAAATAGCAAAAACAAAAGCGCCAAACTTAATCCGTTCCAGAAGTCCGTTTGACTTCCGAAATGTTCAAAAACCAAGGCGCGGCTTCTGATTGGTGCAGGCCCTCCGGAAACAATAGCCGACAGCCACATCGGATGTTTGGCTTCCGAAAAACGTTCAAAATCCGGAACATTTACTTCCTGGTTTTCGGCATTTGAGACCCAAAGTACCACTGTACTTGGGAGTTGAGGACTCAACTGTACTGGAGGTTTTTAAGCAGAAGTTGGGATATCCAGCAACTGCAGGAGATTCGAACTTGCTCCCCCAGGAGGCAGGGAGGGCCAGAAACTTGGATGGCTTTAAGAGGATTGGATGAATTCAATGGCTACTAGCCAGGATGACTATGCTCTGACTTCACGCAGCAATGCTTCTGAAGACCAGTAGCTGGAAACCGCAGGAGGGGAGTGTGTGCCCTGTGTTCGAATCCTGCTTGTAGGTTTCCCATGATGGGCATCAGGCTGGCCAATGACCAATCAGGATGCTGGACTAGATGGGTCATTGGCCTGATCCAACAGCCTCTTCTTATTTTGGATCCCTTCCAACTCCACAATACTGATTCTATGAGCAGGGTAGGCAATGTTTGCTGAGAGTCCCTGCAGAAAGCAGGCCTCTTAATATTCCTGTTTCAGCCAGGACAGCCAATTCCTCGCCCCTTCTCCCTGGGCCCTGCTTTGCGGGAAAACCCAACACCCTATCATGCACAAAATACTAGAATTCATCGGCACGCAATGATGCTGAACGTTGGAATATTTGGGACAGATATGAGAAATGTACAGGAGGGCTTTGATGGGCAACAACTTGGATGGCTTTAGCAGGCATGGCCAAAATTGGCCCTCCAGCTGTTTTGGGACTACAACTCCCATCATCCCTACCTAACAGGACCAGTGGTCAGGGATGATGGGACCCTGATGCTGGGAAAGATGGAGGGCACAAGGAGAAGGAGACGACAGAGGATGAGATGGTTGGACAGTGTTCTCGAAGCTACCAGCATGAGTTTGACCAAACTGCGGGAGGCAGTGGAAGACAGGAGTGCCTGGCGTGCTCTGGTCCAGGGGGTCACAAAGAGTCGGACACGACTAAACAACAACAAAACATCACCAATGGCTACTAGCCATGATGATTCTGGTCTGCCTCCACAGTGAGAGGCAACCATGCTTTTGAAGACCCCTTGCTGTAAACCTCAAGAGGGGCGAGGGCTTTTGTGTTCGAATCCTGCTTGTGTGTTCACCATCCGGTCGGCCTCTTTGAGAACAGGATGCTAAAGTGGAATAAATTTAATGATTATCTAGTTAAATTTGTTAAGTTAAATTAACTGAAAATAGCTTGCAGATACTTTAGGATTTTATCTATGTTAAGTGATGAATTAATATGTTTAATTCCATAAGGTGAAGATTTAAGGATGTTAATGTTTAAGTTAAATTTCATAAAAATTGGGATTTGGAAAACCGTGAAAAGGACATGCAATGAAATTCAACCAAGGGGAAGCGAGGAAGTCACTTAACAAAGTTAATAAGTGTAAGGCTATGATTTATGTTTGTTTGTCTTGTGTGTTTGTTTGTTTATAATATTGTGAAAACTAATAAAAAAATTTGGGGGGAAAGAGAACAGGATGCTAAACTACATGGGGCACAGCAGCCTCTTTTAGCAAACGACTTTTCTTCTCCAATCCCTTTCTTTCCCCTGCTGCCTTTTCTTCTCCCTGCCTTCTCTAAACATTCCTGAAGCCTAAAGGTAAAGGTAAAGGTACCGGCTCCCTCGGCCAGTAAAGCGAGATGAGCACCGCAACCCCAGAGTCGGTCACGACTGGACCTAATGGTCAGGGGTCCCTTTACCTCTAATAGCAATAATAATAATGATGATGATAATAATAATAGGGAAAGACCAGGGGAATGCAGAGGGACGAGACATAGTGTGGATAAGCCCAAAGACAGGAACGAAAGAAATTCCGACTAAACATCAGGAATAACTTTATGACGGCAAGAGCCGTTCCACAATGGAACGGTCTCCCTCAGGAGGGGGTCGGCTCTCCTTCCCTCGAGGGAGAAAAACAGTGCATGGTCTGCGATGGGTCTCTTCTTCTGGCACAGCGCTACTCCAAAGCGGCAGCAGTCTTGCTCTGGTTCCACATCAGAGAAGAAAAACCTTGGCACATTAAATCAACGGGGAGGCGGTTTTTCGATGAACGGCAGGTCACCAGCCCCAGTTTCTCAGGCTGGATGCGGCGTGCAGGTTTCAACATCCTTGCCTCAGCCAAATAATACTTCTCCCACATAACCAATGGCTCATGCCGCTGAAGGTAAAGGGACCCCTGACCATTAGGTCCAGTCGTGGCTGACTCTGGGGTTGCGGCGCTCATCTCGCTTTATTGGCCGAGGGAGCCGGCGTACAGCTTCCGGGTCATGTGGCCAGCAGGACTAAGCCGCTTCTGGCGAACCAGAGCAGCGCACGGAAACGCCGTTTACCTTCCCGCTATAAAGCGGTCCCTATTTATCTACTTGCACCCGGGGGTGCTTTCAAACTGCTAGGTTGGCAGGCGCTGGGACCGAGCAACGGGAGTGCACCCTGCCGCAGGGATTCGAACCGCCGACCATGCGATCGGCAAGACCTAGGCGCTGAGGTTTTACCCACAGCGCCACCCGCGTCCCCTCCTGAAGCCTAGAAACTAGTTATTTGCGTTACCTGCCCCGCCATGGGTCTCCATCTAATACTTTTGCAGGGGAATTGTACTTTCCAGTTTTAAAATGCATTTACCATTCGGTGTGACTAGGGACATTCGCCTCTAGCAGGGCATGACGCACAGACACAGAAGAGAGGGCCCTTCCTTTTCTAAGCAAGCCCATATAAAACACTGGCCTGCGAGCGCTCCAGGTGGAGAACAGCCTTTACCCAAGGTGTCGTGGGCTTTGAAGACACTCGAACTCAGGACACAAGGGAGAAAGGTGCTAAGAGGAAGGCACGCTTGGCAAACCCTCACCGTGATCAACTCCCACTCGGAAACCAATGTCCCCACTGTGGAAGGACGTGTGGATCCAGAACTGACCTCCACAGTCACTTATGGACTCACTGTTAAAACAGTGTTTATGGAAGACAATCTTACTTGGCTACGAGGGATCGCCAAAGAAGCAGCAGCTCCCATATCTTGGGTCGTACCTATAGCATGCATTTAAAGCAAGTGTCTTTACCCAGAGAATGCTGGGAACTGTCCTTGCAGAGCCACAATTCCCATCAGCAAGCAACAGTTCCCAGGAATGTGATGTAGCATGAGGACTTAGACGCCTAAGGTGGAATCTGACGTCTGGTTATGTTGAATGTCCCATCTGTACAAGCATGTATCAGTTTGCCAGAGAGAATGACAACCTTCCCCTCACAAACTGTACTGGGGGAATTCTCCCGACAGCCCCAGAACCATAGCTGTCAACTTACAGATTTGAAAATAAGGGACCAGCAACCTCGGAAATAAGGGATCAGCAGCCAAAATGAGGGATTTTCAGAGCACAGGTATGTTCAACTTCTGAGCCCCTCCGAGCCAAAGGCAGAAAGCCCAGCCAGCAGCCAAACAAAGCCTCAAGCGGTGGTTCCCACAGCGCAGCAACCCGGCAAAGGGGATGCAGCAAGGAAAACCACCGTCACCTCTCCGCTGGGAAGCGCTGAGCAAAGGCGAGTCCCCAGGCAACGCGGCCGATTTGATCGGCACAAGGCATGCAAGCTCCACCCCCCAGTCATTCTTAGGCTCCTTATTGGGTGAGCAACGCAGCCAAGCAACACAGCTGGAGCCTCCCTCCTCCCTGGCCAGCAGGGAGGGAGGGAGAGGAGCTGCTTCCTTTGAAACCCAGGAAATTTAAGGGACATCATCAATAAGGGACAGCAGTGGGACACGGCGCTGGGATAAGGGACTTTCCCGCCAAATAAGGGACAGTTGACAGTTATGCCCAGAACCTTTTTCAGGAGGTGGGTGGAACAGCCTCGCTGTGGAAGTGCTCACACAGGGCGTTCGTTGGTGAATCTTGCCTCCTAGAGAAAGGCTAAGGTAAAAGCCGTCTCAAGGATCGTAAACTTCCACTGCGGAAAAAGACACCGTTTTTTTTCCAAACGCTGCACAAAAACCCAAGAGCGGCCGTTGTTCTTTCATTGCCGTTTTATTTAATTTTTTAATTTTTTTCTTTTACATAAAAACTTCAGTAAAAATTGGATAAAGTAAAATGATTTAAGCAGTAAAATCAATCTTATCAACATAGCACGCGGCTTGCCAGAAACCCTGAGGCAGCCTGTTCGCAAATATTTACATGATAACAGAGTAACCTTGCAGAGAACGAAAAAAAGAAAGGGAAACGGAAACAAACAAAACAAAAAAAAACCCACCCCACCCCTTTCTCAAAACTATTCTTACAAAGTGTTCCCATGATATCAACACGTTTCGGGCTAAAGGGGGGCGGGAGAACTCAATATATTCACATATACGTTAAAATATGATACAGATCTCGCGGGGGAGAGACGAGACGCGCTTTCGAGTTTGTTGCGCTAAAACAGCACCAAACGGACCGGAAGTTCCAGCTTTTCTTGCAGAGAGGGAACGAACGATGGGGTGAGTCACAACTGTACCATGGGGTGGGTGTGTTTGTGCGAGTTAGTTTCTCCCCCCCCCCCCTACACACACACACTGCAGTTTCTGCCTGGCCTCCTCAAACCCGACTTGGAAAGATCGAGAGAGAGTGAGAAAGAGCCGGAAATCCTGTGGAAAACAAAAGGAAAATAAGAAGTGTCCTTGTTAGGGGAGCTCCTAGAGCGGAAGAGAGGGTGCCTTTCCCGCCGCGATTGCTACTCCAAGTCCGTGTCCTCTTTGGGCTTGTAAACGGACCCAAATTTCTGCATATACTTCTTGATGTACTCCTTCGTCTTGTGTTTCACGTTCTCGTTGCACTCCAGGTCCTCAGGGTTTTTGCAGTACTTCAGCTCCTTGTTCATGACTCCGTGGGTCAGCTGCGGGAGAGGAGAAGAGGAAACAGACAGAGAGGGCGGGTTAAGGAGATTGTAGGGATCCACTGGTGAAAGCAGGGGGAGGCTCTCTGCAAAGGCGGAATTGTGCTGGGGAGAGGGAATCAGACAAAACAAGGCTCCTCGCTCAAGGGATGCTTCGGAAAACCTGCTCCCTTTCGTGCCATCCAGGTTCAAGGGGGAAAGCTCCATCAGCTGAGTCTCATCACTGCAAATGGGAGCGAGATTTTAGAAATAAAAAGAGCGTTGGCGTTTGTAAGGATGTTGCATCTGAGGAACAGAACTCTAGTCTGTGAAAGCTTAAAAAGGTAAAGGGACCCCAGGCCGTTAGGTCCAGTCACGGCCGACTGGGGTTGCGCCGCTCATCTCGCTTTACTGGCCGAGGGCGCCGGTGTACAGCTTCCTGGTCATGTGGCCAGCATGACTAAGCTGCTTCTGGCGAACCAAAGCAGTGCACGGAAACGCTGTTTACCTTCCCGCAGAGCGGTACCTGTTTATCTACTTGCACTTTGATGTGCTTTTGAACTGCTAGCTGGAGCTCACCCCGTCGCGGGGGATTCGAACCGCCGACCTTCTGATCGGCAAGCCCTAGGCTCTGTGGTTTCACCCACAGCCCCACCCACGTCCCTGTGAAAGCTTAAGTTGTGATAAATTTAAAGTGCCACAAGTCTCTGTGTTGTTAAGCGGCCGACTCGCCTTTGTTGGAGGTTTTTAAAACAGAGGTTGGATGGCCAGCTGTCAGGGATTATAAACTGTAACTCCTGCATTGCAGGGGGCTTTGGGGGTTCATTTCAACAACACGATTCCATGTTTCTATGAAATTTTCAAAGTTCAGAAATCAATTTAGGGGGAAATCCAGCTAATAAACATTAGATAATCTCCAGAGCTAGCTGGCTGAGTTGGTCCTACTTGGGCCAGCGAGGAGGCCAGGGGAGAATTAGCTGTGGGGTCTCAGAGCGGGTGATCTTCATAAAAGGGGAGGGGGAAGGAAGAGAAGGGAAGTAAAAGATCAGGCTGAATTCAAATTAAAGACCAGGCGGAATAGCTCTGTCTTACAGGCCCGACGGAAGAGGTTAAATCCTGAAGGGCCCTGGTCTCATGGGACAGAGCATTCCACCAGGTCGGAGCCATCACTGAGAAGGGTGGTGCCAGGGATGCTCAACACGCCTTGCAAAAGGGGATCTTTCCCCACGACTGACGGGACACGGAACGGGGCCTTCTCGGTGCTGGCACCCCTCTTGTGGCTCAGAGACATCTGCCAAGCCACCTGCACACTTGGGTCTTCCACCAACAGGGTAGAGAATCCTTCCTGTTTTAATCTTTCTTCTTCCTGATTATCCATACTGCTGCAGTGCCTTTAGCACCAGTCATAACTCAGAGCAGCCCCACTGAAATAAATGAAATTAAGTCACCTGGTTTCAATGGGTCTACTCTGAGCAGGACTGATGTTGGGCATCACCCACTTCTTAAAAAACAATAGCCCTTTGTGCTGGTTTTTAAAAAGTTCTTTTGCACTCCTTTTTTGTAAGCTGCTTTGTGTGTGTCCCAATTTTATTTTTAAAAAGCGCAAGGAAGTGTGGTCCTCCTCAGAGCCAGCTAAGGGTCAAGGTCCCAGCTCTAACCAGGGGGAAAGAAATCAGAAAATGCTTATTACTTGATTGATTGATTGATTGATTGATTGATTGCATTTAAACCGTTTGGCTGTTTTTGTTATTTTAGTCTACCAGTTAATTTTTATTATTAATTTTATTACATTTATATATCACCTTTTTCTTCCAAAGGAGCTCAGGGTGGTGTACTGTATTTTTCGCTCCATAAGACGCACCTAGTTTTTAGAGGAGGAAGGGGGAAAGCCCCGTTTTTTGGGGGGGATCAGCTCACAGTTCTGCAGCTTCTTTTGCAAAGGGGGAAAGCCCCCTTTTTTGAGGATCAGCTCAGAGTTGTTGAGCTTACTTTGCAAAGGGGAAAAAATCCTGTTTTTATGGGGTTCAACTCACAGTTCTGCAGCTTCTTTAGGAAAGGAAAGGGAGCCGTTTCTACAGTTTCCAGACAGATAATCTAACCAGCCAGTCACATGTCGCTGGGGAAACAAACAGCCTCCGCCTGCAGAACATTCAAAAATGGAGGCCTGGGCAAGGGAGCCAGCGACCGACCACACATTCACTCCATAAGACGCACAGACATTTCCCTTTACTTTTCAGGAGGAAAAACGTTTGTCTTATGGAGTGAAAAATACGGCATGCGGTCCCTGTTGCCCCCATTTTATCCTTGCAACAACCGTGCAAAGTAGGTTAGGCTGAGAGATGGTGACTGGCCCAATGCCACCCAGCAAGTTTCACGGCTGAGGATTTGAACCCTGGGTCAGTGGCGGAGCTTCATGCTCTGGCACTGGGGGGCGGAGAGCAGGCGGGGTGGGGCTGGCGTGCGTCCCAGGGGCGTGGCGTACGTCCTGGGGGTGTGGTGTGCCACCCATAGGGGCATGGCGCCCAGCACAGGCGGGCAGCCGCGATGGCACCGTGCTGGGATTGTGCTGCCAGGGGCGGTGCGCTCCCACCGCACGCCTCTTCCTCCGCCAGTCTCCCAGGTCCTAGCCCAACCACTATGCCACACTGCCTCTCGTTGCTTGATGGCTGGCGGGACCTTCTCGGCCATTTCCCCCTTCCAGAGCAGGAGCCTGACAGCCGCAAGCCAAGCCAGCCGCTCTGGTCAGCAGCAGGAGAGGCTGCGGTCAACTGCAGGCCCCCAACTGCCCGGGGTATCTTCAACCCCCCCCCCTGGGGCTGCTGGCTCTGGGAACAGAGGTGCTGGCTGAGCGAGAGAGCGCAAGAGAGCAGTGCTCAGAGGACAGAGGGCCTCGTGCGGGTCCTCTTACAGAAGAGGAAACTTGGCACTGGCTTCAAAGGCAGCACTTTGTCTCCAAATCGTGCTGCTGGCACACACAGTTCCCATTTCCACTCTTCTAGCTCAAAGGCACACCGAGTTTCTTTCCCCTCTCAACGGCCCCCACACATACGGCACTTTTCCGCCCGCCTGCCCCAGCTTTTTCCATCCCATCCGCAACTCAAGACTCAGCAAGCAAGTCTCTGCAACCATCTGGCCTCGCAAGCAGCCAGGTGGATTCCTGCAAATGGCTCTTGCCTTGGAAACGATTCCCACCCTCCGCAGATCAGGGAGAAACGGAATCGCTTTTTGAGCCAGAGGAGTTTCATCGGCGGTAGCTCCTCCTGATGCAAACTCGTGAACATGCTCCTCGCTGATTTGTCTAGGGACCTGGTCTTCAAGAGATGCCCCTGGGGGAAATGGGAGCAAATGTCCAATCCTGTGGGCACCCCTGAAGCAAGAAGGTCCCTGCAGTATTCCCAAGGTCAGGCCTTCAAAGGAAGGATAATCCAGGAAACCATCTGCTTTTAACCCAGGTTTTCCCCCCCATCCAGGCTTCCTTCCCCTTAAAGCTCATTTCCTGGCCTCAGCTTGGCCGGAGTCACCGGCAGCTCGAGTGGAAACAGAGATGAAGAAGAGAAGTTTGGATTTGATATCCCGCTTTATCACTACCCTAAGGAGTCTCAGAGCGGCTAACATTCTCCTTTCCCTCCCTCCCCCACAACAAACACTCTGTGAGGTGAGTGGGGGACTTCAGAGAAGTGTGACTGGCCCAAGGTCACCCAGCAGCTGCATGTGGAGGAGCGGGGAATCGAATCCCGGTTCCCCAGATTACGAGTCCACTGCTCTTAACCACTACACCACACTGGCTCTCGAGGAAAAGGCGTGCCATACCTTCCGTGCAAGGTGCTTGAAATCTTCGGTTGTGGTTATCCGCCCAACTTTGCAGTCTGGCTTGCGGTAGGGGTTCAGGCATTGCACGATGAACTGGGACATCTGGAAAAAGGAGGGGGGAACGTTAAATGACAATCCTTAGAGCCACTGACAATTTCTCCCTAATTCAGCAAGAGAAGGGGGGGGCTGGGCTGGGGGGGGAGGGAGGAAGTGCGTGCAGTAGCTGTTGGGACGCATGAGCAAAAACCTTCTTGAAACATCTCAGTAGTAATAATAATAAATAATAATAAAATTTTATTTATATTCCGCCCACCCCAGCCAAAGCCGGGCTCAGAGCGGCTAACAACAGTAAAATAATACCGCATTTTAAAATCAATTCATTATAAAATCAGTTCAAATCAAATTGATGGCAACCATTGGGCTAGAGTTCTGTGAAGGAGGGGGTCAGACTGTGCCTTGGCCAAAGGCCTGGTGGAACAGCTCTGTCTTGCAGGCCCTGCGGAAAGATGTCAAGTCCCACAGGGCCCTGGTCTCTTGTGACAGAGCGTTCCACCAGATCGGGGCCACGGCTGAAAAAGCCCTGGCTCTGGTACAGTCATACCTTGGTTTTCGAACAGAATGAGAAGTCCATTCAACTTCCGAAACGTTCTGAAACCAAGGTGCGGCTCCCAATTGTGCAGGAGCGCCGGATAAAATAGCAGAAGCTGCATTGGACGTTCGGCTTCCCAAAAAACATTCGAAAACCACTTCCGGGTTTCCATCGTTCGGGAGCCGAAACGTACGAGTACCAAGGCGTTTGACAACCAAAGCATCATTTGGAAACTTGGTCCAGGACAAGTTGCTAACAAACTGCAAGAATGTTTGGGTGGTAGCCAACCAAGTGTCACTCAGAGTAGACCCACTGCGATTAACAGCCCTTGGTCATGTTTACTAATTTCAACTGGCCTACTCAAAGTAAAACTTCATTGACTACCACCCCTTAATCTGGCACTACTGTGGATCTTTCTCAAACACCCACTAATTCAAAGGGTGCTAGAGGAACCCACCCACTGCAGCGCCAGTAACTCAGCCCCAGAGGAGGAGCAAAAACTTCGCCCACTCTGAAGCTGGACCTTACCTCCTTTCGAAAGACTTCCTTGCTCTTCTTTGCCAGCTCGCTGGAAGTGTCTGCTTCTGCCGTTTTGGGTTTTTTGGAAGACTGCAAAGAGACAGAAAGGATAGAAGATTCATTTTTGGAGGTGCCGGTTTCATTTCACGGAGAGAATGAAATGCATGTGGTGCCCTGTGTGTTCTTTCCCTTCTTAGCCTAGGCAGCAAAAGACTGGAGCAGATCTCTGTTACACATCAGCTGAGACAGAGAGAACTGTGGAGACACCTGCCCTGGGAATTCAGAACATCCAGACTCACACTTTGCATGATGAGGTCACGTTATTTTAGGGGAGCATGTTGAGAAGAGGGTGCAGCTCAGAGAGGAACCCTCAGACTTCTCTTGCCAGATCTGTCATACTGGGTTGGATCCCAGGGTATGAAAGATTAGCAGCTGGTGGGATCAGAGCTGGTTTGAGGAGCCCAGTAACATAAAATAAGGTGTTTGACTTATACAGTCAAACGCTCAAACTGCAGACTTTTAACAAATGCACAGATAATTTTGCTACTCAGCACTGACGAGAGGAATGAATTCTGCTTAATTTAAGGTGCTTTAATTATTCTACAATTATGTATCTATGGACAGCCTTACATTGCCACGAGGCATGCAAATATGTTTCTCACATTGATTACGCTTTACACGGCACCAGCTGAGTCCACGGCATCTTGCAAAGTTGCATAGGCAAAGGCAGACAAGTCCTTGCCACCAAACAGCTTGCAGTCAAAAATAGAAAGCAGGGAAAACAAACAGATGTCAGGGGAGTAATTTGGTTTGTTTCAGCTGCACGGCATTCTTGCCAAGTTTGGGGAGCAAAAATTCTTAGAGCAGTTTCTCAAAGCAGTGCCTTCTGCTGAAACGTGTCCAAAATAGACTCTACAAATTTGAGATTTGAAATGCTTATTGAATTCTGAAGGAAAGCTTTCGGTTCCCTAGGGATTTCCAATTTAATACATTTGCTTTTTCTGGATCGTCAGGTTTAAACTATTCCACAAAAGGGTTTTTTTCCAGTTCTTCTGAACATTTTGGTGTTTTATCTATACAGAATCATATAGCCTCAGTGGATCCCAAAGACCACCTGACTCAAGATTTCTCCAGCCTCGTCTCCCTCCAGCAGCTTTCGATTACAACTCTCACGAGCCGAAGCAAGCATGTCCCATAGCTAGGAATGATGGGAGCTTTCGACCAAACCAGCTGAAGGGCATCTGCTTGGGGAAAGCCAATTTAGTCCCCCTGACGCCACCTCCCTGTTTGTTATTTACTATCACTTTCAGAAGATCTTTCTCAACATCTTATGCTATCAATCTAGTAAATAAATGGAGTGGACTAGAGGCTGAGTGAGACGCGGGTGGCTCTGTGGGTTAAACCACAGAGCCTAGGACTTGCCGATCAGAAGGCCGGCGGTTCGAATCCCCGCAATGGGGTGAGCTCCCGTTGCTCGGTCCCTGCTCCTGCCAACCTAGCAGTTCGAGAGCACGTCAACGTGCAAGTAGATAAATAGGTACCGCTCCTGCGGGAAGGTAAACGGCATTTCTGTGTGCTGCTCTGGTTCGCCAGAAGTGGCTTAGTCCTACGGCAGCTCCCTCAGCCAATAAAGTGAGATGAGTGCTGCAACCCCAGTGTTGGCCACGACTGGACCTAATGGTCAGAGGTCCCTATACCTTTACCTAGAGGCTGAGAGAGGTGCCCAGCGCCATCCAGCAAGCCTGCGGCTGCGTTAAAAGTGGATCCTGGTCTCCGGCCTCCAGCACTTTGCTCATAGGTCTGACAAGCCCTTGCACCACAAAACTGAAACCGGATCTCCAGGACTCTATTAACCGCTCAATGAAAAGGAAGCTTAATCCGCCCCACCCAGCTGGGGTCCCATTGGGGAGCGAGAGCGCTTTCCTGAGAAATTTGTTCCGCACTATTTCTAAGGCATTGTTAGCATTTGGGTCCATGCCCCATATTGCTACTCCATGGAGCATTTGGGAAACCACTTTACTGGCGAAGATTTTTGGCACAGGTTCTAATAACTGGCCACCCAGCATAAAAGAGAATTTCATTAGTGCCCCACAAGCTTTCTGTGCTTTGAGTTTCGCAACCTCAATGTGTCCCTTCCATGATAGTGTCTCAGTGAAAAGAACACCCAGATATCTAAAGGAGCGTATCTGCTCCAGATTCTGCTGGTCCATTTTCCATTTACAGTGGTACCTCGGGTTACATACGCTTCAGGTTACAGACTCTGCTAACCCAGAAATAGTGCTTCAGGTTAAGAACTTTGCTTCAGGATGAGAACAGAAATTGCACGGCAGCAGCGGGAGGCCCCATTAGCTAAAGTGGTGCTTCAGGTTAAGAACAATTTCAGGTTAAGTACAGACCTCCGGAACGAATTAAGTACTTAACCTGAGGTACCACTGTGTATCTGGGGCTACGCTTCCCAAAGACCAAAATTTTGGTCTTGGAGTAATTCACGCCAAGCTCTTCTCGCGTGCAATACGATCTAAAAGCTGTGAGCAGATTTTAAAGACCTAATCGAGAGAGTGATAGGAGCACCACATCATCGGGGTTCAGCAGACAGGATATCTTCCTATTACTAATTGATGGAAGGGGGATTGCACTTGTGTTAAATGTGGCACCATATCATAAAAGTTAAAAAGTGTGGGAGCCAATATACAGCCTTGTTTCATGCTTTTTGATGTCTTGAATGGTTCCGATAAGCTTCCCCTTAAGTCCACTCTAACTCTTGTTTCGGTGCCACGATACAATTTGCAAACTAATAATAAGAGTCGTTTTCCCAAAGTCTACCACCATAAATCTCCGTATCTTTAAGTCGTAAATAAATAATCTTCTACTTTTCTAATATGACTTCTGTCTACCTCACTACGGGTCCTTTCTTCCTTTTTTAAAAAACTGTGTCCTTTTTCACCTTAACAATCGTCAGCATTATATATATTACATTATCCATCTGTCTTGCAATTTGCGAAAATTAATCGAAGCACACCAAGGATTTTATTTGGGAGCTATGTGCTTTTTTTAAGTACCCTCCATAGCATTCCCACTCTTTAAATTTTTTTTGGGGGGGGTTGTTTGATTCCTGATTATTTCTCTCATTTTCCATTCATTCAGCACTCCAGCCTCCTGGTGCAGAGGCTGTCAGAGTGGAAGCAACAGCACCATGGCTTGCAGGTGTACCTCTAGCCACCAGCAGATTCTGGTTTGCCACCTGAGCACCAACAGGGCTTGACACATTACAACTATCACATGCAACTATAGCTCTATACTACCTTTCGTCTGGAGGTTTATGCAACCGGTCTGGGCAGATCAGCTCCGTGGCCTATTAGAAAACTTAACTTCATTTTCCATGTCTGGAGGAGATAAATCACCTTTTGAGCTAGGAACCTATACTTATTCTTAGTTTTCTAGGAACAAGCCGAGTTACTACTATGCAGGTAGTTTCACCCGCCAGTCAGGTGAACTCACCTTCATGGGGTTTTCGTCGTAAGTTGGGGTTCCAAGATCCATTTCAGCTTCGTGCTCAAGACTGGCATCATCTTCTGGGCTGTCCCAGTTTGGAGGGTCCCACTGGGTTTGCCTATAATAATAATAATAATAATAATAATAATAATAATAATAATAATTTATTATTTATACTCCGCCCATCTGGCTGAGTTTCCCCAGCCACTCTGGGCGGCTCCCAATTGAGTGTTAAAAACAATACAGCATTAAATATTAAAAACTTCCCTAAACAGGGCTGCCTGCTCATTTCCTTCACATCTGAAGGAATGTGGGCGCCACCACCGAGAAGGCCCTCTGCCTGGTTCCCTGTAACCTCACTTCTCGCAATGAGGTAACTGCCAGAAGGCCCTTGGCGCTGGACCTCAGTGTCCGGGCAGAATGATGGGGGTGGAGATGCTCCTTCAGGCATACAGGACCGAGGCCATTTAGGGCTTTAAAGCTCAGCACCAACACTTTGAATTGTGCTTGGAAACGTACTGGGAGCCAATGCAGATCTCTCAGGACCGGTGTTATATGGTCCCGGCGGCCACTCCCAGCAACCAGTCTCGCTGCCACATTCTGGATTAATTGCAGTTTCCGGGTCACGTTCAAAGGTAGCCCCACGTAGAGCGCATTGCAGTAGTTCAAGCAGGAGAGCATGCACCACTCTGGCGAGACAGTGATGACTACAGAAAGGAGACCATGATCCATGAACAGGAAAGACTTCTCTGACCCTATAGAGAATCAGGACGGCACAGCAAAGGCGCAGCATGGGCAGGGCGAGGGGAGCTGTTGCCCTGGGCGCATTTTGCTCCTCATGCAGGCTTTGCGGGTCTGATCCCGCACCCCAGCCTCACAAAGCAGCATGATGAGGACGCAACAGCCCTGCACCCTTCCAAGAACCCAAATCAGAGGGATTGGAAGGGTGAGTGCCTGCCCTGCTGCATCATCCTCACATCGCCCTTCCAGCCCACACAAAGCGAGGGTGAGGCTGGGATCGAAGGGCCCATGGCTGCTGCATCCGTCTCACGCCACCCTCCCCGAGCTGCTGGTGAACGCCCCCCCATCACACATGTACCCACCCTGAGTGCCATGAAGACACCCTCTGTCTCTGGCCGCCAGCTGTAAGGATCAGCCAAGGTTTGAATTCTCAAAGGAAATCCTGTCCGAATATGTGATGTGGGAAGGGGTTTCTGGAGGGGCTCGGAAGAAAGCAAGTGCTTTCTCCTACAACAGCTCCTCAAAGCATAAGAAGCTAGCTAGTGCTAGATGTCCGAATATCTGGTTTCTCTTAATGCACATGTTCAACAGTGGTTAGCACCAATTCTAAGGGAAGAAGTGGTCTAAGGAACAAAATACAGTGGAGGCTCGGGTTGCGAACGTGATCCGTGCGGGATGCACGTTCGCAACCCGTGTCTGCGTGGGTTGCGATTCGGCGCTTTTGTGCATGCGCAAAGAGCGATTCAGTGCTTCTGTGCATGCGCAACCACTGAAACCCGGGAGTAACCCGTTCCAGTACTTCCGGGTTTTGGCAGTCTGTAACCTGAAAAACGGGACGTGGGTGGCGCTGTGGGTAAAAGCCTCAGTGCCTAGGGCTTGCCGATCGAAAGGTCGGCGGTTCGAATCCCCGCGGCGGGGTGCGCTCCCGTTGCTCGGTCCCAGCGCCTGCCAACCTAGCAGTTTGAAAGCACCCCCGGGTGCAAGTAGATAAATAGGGACCGCTTACTGGCGGGAAGGTAAACGGCATTTCCGTGTGCTGCGCTGGCTCGCCAGATGCAGCTTGTCACGCTGGCCACGTGACCCGGAAGTGTCTCCGGACAGCGCTGGCCCCCGGCTCTTGAGTGAGATGGGCGCACAACCCCAGAGTCTGTCAAGACTGGCCCGTATGGGCAGGGGTACCTTTACCTTTAACCTGAAAAAATGCAACCTGAAGTGTCTGTAACCTGAGGTATGACTGTAAAGTCGTTGGTGAATACTAGCCTTGAAGCCAGCTGCCTCTCAGCAAGGTGACCTGTAGTGGGATGTGAATGCTGCTGTAAGGAAGGCTTCTGATTAAAGCTTTAGGTCTCTGACATTAAAAAAATGCTGTATCTGAGCACAGCGGGCCAAAAGATAGTGAGGCAAGTACTATTTTATTTTTTAAAGGGAGTTCTAATGCTCTTAACTTGGCTGAACAAACCAGACACCTTGCACTTCCTGCCACAAAGGTTGCGCTGACCCCACAATCAATGCTGTGTGCACTACAGAACAGGCAGGGGCAAAGTCACAGGAGCCTGTGGGTTGAGGGGCTTCAAGGTCAACAGGCTGCGGGTCTCCTCCTCCTCGCCTCTGTGATAGGAATTTTGAGGTCTTAGATATATGTTAAATGTTCATAAGTGTACCAACCAAGCACGTACATAGATCAGCACAGGAAGACCGACCTGGAACCATTTTTGATTCCCAAACTGACCAAATGTTTTCTCTGCAAGGTCAAAGTGGAAAAGCCTCCCCATTGTCTTTTCCTTCACAAATCCTGTCTTAAGGGCACATTTAAGATATGAATAGGGTGTAAGCCTGTGACCTGGCCCAGGAACTACCGTATTTTTTGCTCTATAACACGCACCCGACCATAACACGCACGTAGTTTTTAGAGGAGGAAAATCCGTAGGCATGCCACCCGTAGGAATTCCCTCCATAACACGCACAGACATTTCCCCTTACTTTCTAGGAGGAAAAAAGTGAGTGTTATGGTGCAAAAAATACGGTAAGTATTTATCATTACGAAAGACTGGCCAGGCTCCCCAGGCAATCCAATCAAGTGGACCTGCCAGACAGGAGATAAACAAGGACAGGAGGAAAAGCAACATTCAAATTTCTGTTTTAGATGGCCTTTTCTGTGATGTAGTTATGATGTATCTGGGGGGTCTTGAGCTCCAGGGCAGGGAATTAAAATGTCTATATAAGGCCTTGAGCGCCATTGTTCTGGGTTCCTCCTCCTTTCCTGCGGGTGAGGGGAAGCACCCTGTTGCAACAGATCAATAAAGATCAAGCTTGCTAGCTGCTTTGCTTCTCAATATTCTCTGGTTGGCCTCTGTTATTTTCTCCTACCATTAGGGAACCTACGTAAGGACTCTATATGGGCTCTTGGATACCCCATAAGGGAAAAAGAGCAGGTTTTTGTTTTACAACACCTCAAAGCCACCATATAAGATGTGCCTTACGTTCTCAAATGATAGTGTTTCACTGAGCTGAGCGTTTCATTCAGAAAGTGATTCCCTATCCACTCAGTTTGCTCAGCTCAGGTTTCTGTGCACCCAGATCCTTCCCATCATGTGAAATACCCAAACAACACATTTTAAAAAAAGAGAACAACAGGTTGCTGCAGGCATAAATAGCAGAACAAACATGAAGAGGTCGCTCACCTGGTGGCCACGTGATAGTAGTAGATCTTCCCCTCAGGATCTCGGGCAGTTTTCCAGTTCGGAGGGAGGACAATGGTTTTGGGTTTGGGGGGAGATGGTGGGGGCAGGTCCAAGAGGTTGTTGGTGACCACCAGCTCCGGCTGGAAGGGGCGAGACAAGAAGAGAAAACATGAAAAATACTGATCTGTAGCAACAGAACTGAAAGAGGGCCAAACGCATCAACAAAAGGGAGAGAAGTGGAGCATTTTCTTAAGCGAGGTAATGACCACAATCCATTCCTGATTAACCTTGAATCTTCTGCTATTGTTCTGTCCAATAATTTTTCAGAACATCTGTAAAAATAAAAATCCTCTCTCTGAATAGTAATACTCCAAGGATCCAGAAATAGTGACATTGATGTGAAGCGCTATATTGGAGAACAAAGCTGCCCACAATCTTTCAACTCTCTGCCTTCTTCTTAGTTTTATAAAACAGAGTTAGAGCCACTAGGCTACATTCTTCCTATGCAGAAAGCATTTTGATTAGGAAAACGCAGGAAATCGCTCACACAAGTCATTCACAAGCCAATTTTTATGCATCTTCTTCTACTTTTGGTAATTAAATCTGCTAAGGTTTTTAAACACGCACCCAGAGAAAGGTTGTGTTTTATTGGAGAAAACAGATCACAGGGCCAAGACACTTAGAACTGTGTTTTTCATTCCTGCATTGCACAAATGATGTCAGATTTTCAAATAGGCATTTCAGTGACCGCCCCTCTCACTTGAACAACTGGACCTAATCTCTTTCACCTGCAACTTGTGAGAGCGAAAGGTTTTGCGAAGGTTCATTCCGGTCGGCTAAGAGGAGGCCCTTCTACAAGTCCAAGAAGACCACACTCCCCAAACCTTACCTGCTGTATAGGCGGGGGCTGTCCTGTGGCTACAATAGTTGTCACTGCCGTCGAAGGCTGCACCACAACGCCCTGGGGATGAGCAGTGTAAATCTGCTGCCCCTGGATATACTGGAGACCTGGTTGTGCGTAGCTCTAGGGAGAAAACAAGAGAGCAGTGAGAGAATTACTTGGAGAACCCCACTAGTGCTTCTGAAGGAGGGGAGAATAAAACAACAGCTTCTTCGAGACAAACAGCTGGGTGTCTTCCATACTGCACTGTAACAATTTCTGTTGTTATTATTATTAATTATTATTATTATTATTAATTTAATTTATATACCACCCTATACCCGGAGGTCTCAGGGTGGTTCACAGAAAAGATCAACATAAAAACCACAGTATAATCAAAATAAAAACAACAACCCAATAACAGCGCCTCCGTCAAAAAAAGAGTAGTCCTGTGTTTCCAGATTTAACAGATACTTGGCAGATCTGCATTCCACCGTTTTTTTAGCATCAGCAGCTACAATCTCAGGCGCTGTTGTGACAAGGATGCTAAATCAGAAAAGCTAAAGAATAGTTTGAGGTCAAATTAAGCCTGTGCAAAATGCTTACCCATCGCTGAGTAACGGGAAGCAGCCATTAAAAATAGAGAGTTGGAGCAGGACTTCCAGGGCAGAGGAAATGACGTCTAGGCAACACATTGCACCTCTTGCATTGAGAAACTGAGCATTGCAAAGCCCAAGAAGCTACAATGCTTACGCAGACCAAACACCCAAATGTACAGTCCTTTTATGCTGTAGACAGCATGAGGCAAAACAGCTATTTCAGATGAATAGAAGTCTGTTGCCATAGTCAGCTGCAGCAGTCTTTAACATCAGCAGTCAGGAGCGCTTCAGCCCTGTTTTTTGAGTTTCTGCCCTGTTTTAGAGCTTGTTTGAAACTTAAACAGCTTATCTCGTATTCCTTTGTAAGTTTTCCTTAAAACCTTTTTTGTAAACTCAGGAAAGCACTCCAGCCTTGCTCCTGAGTTTGTTGGAAATCAGTGAAAACCATTTAAGGTTTATAATGTTCTCTTAAATAGGGCCATGTTTAAAACTTGTCATTGAGGTTTTTATACCTTTTTTGTAAACTCAAGGAAGCGTCTCAGCCCTGCTCTTGAGTTTGTTTGATATCACTTAAAATTATTTAAGGTTTAAAATTCTTTATTTCCTTCTGAGGAAACTGATTAGTTCAGCGAAACAAGTTTTGTAGCCGGCACCTTGTTAAGTCTTTGTTTAAATCTAGGTTAATTTTTCCTTAAATTTTATTATTATTATTTTTGTTATTCAATTCTATATCCGATTACCTCTCATTTCAGGGATTTTCACGGCAATTCTTTTGTTTTGTGTAATAGTCAGTTGCTGAGGCTGAAGTTCTATCCCATTGCGGTTATATCGTTACTATGCTTCTTGCACCCTAGAAGTTCCTGGTGAACCTATTCAACTGCAGGCACAGAGGCTTACCAAAGGTGCCAGGGGAACAGAGACGATATGGGCTCACAGATCTCTTCCCTTGCCAATTTCCACTTCTCTCTGCCAAGTGGGCAGTAGATATTTATTTATTCCATAAAATTTATATCCTGCTTGTCCGTAAAGAAACCTCAAAGTGGTTTACGAAGGACAAACAGTAAAATCAAGGGGGGGGTGTGTGAAATCCACAATCATATTTTAAAACATACAAAAGTTAAGATACTAAAGTAGATTAAAATGACACCAACTTTCTAAGCATCTGGGTAGGCTTGGCTAAACAACGTTTTTAGCAGATGCCGAAAGCAGAACAGTGTTCTCAATAACTGTGCTCTCAATAGACAAGGAGTTCTCAATGCGCAGGCGGCGCCACACTAAATGGCTGAGTTCTTACAAACACAGAACGAGTATTATGTGGCACACATAGCAGTGCCAATTCTGTTGGGCACATGTGGTAAACCGGTCCCAAGTTCTTAAGGGCTTTATATACCAATAGTAACACCTTGAACTTGGCCTGGTAGCAAATTGGCCACAAGGGCAGATCTCCGAGCAGAGGTGTGATGCACTGACAAGGCCTCGCTCCTGCCAGCACAATTGTGCTGCAGCATTCTGCACTAACTGCAGCTTCTGGATCAAGTGAAAGGAGAACCCTGCCCAACTTTACTGAGTAGTGAGTATGGAATAAAGGTAAAGGGACCGCTGACCATTACGTCTAGTCGTGGCTGACTCTGGGGTTGTGCGCTCATCTCGCTTTATTGGCCGAGGGAGCCGGCGTACAGCTTCCGGGTCATGTGGCCAGCATGACTAAGCCTCTTCTGGCGAACCAAAGCAGCGCACGGAAACGCCGTTTACCTTCCCGCTGGAGCGGTACCTATTTATCTACTTGCACTTTGACGTGCTTTCAAACTGCTAGGTTGGCAGGAGCAGGGACCGAGCAACGGGAGCTCACCCCGTCGCGGGGATTCGAACCGCCGACCTTCTGATCGGCAATTCCTAGGCTCTGTGGTTTAACCCACAGCGCCACCCGCGTCCCGAGTATGGAATGGAGCATCTTAAAAAACAACAACTCTCGTTTCCCAAAATGCAATGGACCACTGTACTTCTTAAGCCTTGGAGAGCACACCTTTGTGAAGGTTGTGTCAAAAAAACCAAAATCATTTGGGGCAATTGCACCACGCCATTTACCTGCACGATGGGTGGCGTGGTCTGCGAGTAGGGCGACGCGACTCCGTAAACAGCCTGGCAGGCCTGCCCTTGGTAGTAGATGGCCGGCTGGGACTGGGCTGGAGAATAGGGCGGCTGCACTGCTACCGTCTGCTGGCTGGAATCCCAGACTCCATAGCTCTGTCCTTGCACCGGGGCCGGCACCGGCAAGACCGCGACGCTCTGCTCCTGGTGGACCACCGGGTCGCCCTGCGTTACGTACTGCGGGGCGGACACCTCCAGGGTGCCTGCTGCTACGTGCTGGACGACGGGCACCGGCTGAGGGGCGGCCAGGGCCGGCTCGATCGTGTGCCCGACCAAAGTCTGAGGGTGCTCGTAAGCGGCCGGAGAGCACATGGGGTCCATGCTTGGGGTGGGGAGAAGCACCTTTCCGGCATTGGGGTTGCTGGGGTCCACGTAGGCCTGCATGGGGTAGCCGGGCGGGTAGCCCATGAAGGTCTGGTGCGCGACGCTGTAGCCCAGGGAGTCGTAGGGAAGAGGGGAGGCCATCCCAAGGGTTTGCAACTGCTGCTGCTGCTGCTTCTGGGCCTCGCGCTGCGCAACCTCCTGCTCAAAGAGCTTCCGGCGTTCCTCCGTGGACAGCTTGTTGCGGTCCTTGATCCGGACTTTCTTCTTGGAGGTGGTGGCTGGTGTGTCGTATCTGGGGGGGAGGAGACGAAGGGAGTGTCAAACAATCCTGGCCTCCACGTTCCTAATGGTCTCCTGGTCTGCCCTGCAGAGGACCTTAAGGTCCATGAATAATCATAGTTTAGAGGTCCCGGGCCCTAAGGAAGTCAGACTATCCTCCACCAGGGCCAGGGCCTTCTCAGTGATGGCTCTGACCTGGTGGAATGCTCTGTCCCATGAGACCAGGGCCCTGCAGGATTTAACCTCCTTCCGCAGGGCCTGTAAGACAGAGCTATTCCGCTTGGCCTTTAATTTGAATTCAGCCTGGTCTTTTATTTCCCTTCTCTTCCCCCCCTCCCCCCTTTTATGAAGATCACCCGCTCTGAAACCCCACAGCTAATTCTCCCCTGGCCTCCTCGCTGGCCCAAGTAGGACTAATTCAGTCAGCTAGCCCTGGGGATTATCTAATGCTTATTAGATGGATTTCCCCTAAATTGATTTCTGAAATTTGAATTTTATTGTTATTCATGTTTTTATACTGTATTTTATGTTGCTTTTACAATTAAGTGTTTTAGATTTGTTGTTAGCCGCCCGGAGCCCGGTTTTTAAACCGGAAGGGCGGGGTATAAATAAATTATTCTTATTATTCTTATTATTAGCTGCCACTGCTATGATCCCATGGCTATTAGCCTGGGGTAAGCGGGGAAATGCCAGCATGGCATTGTTGCTGTCTGTGAATTCATTATTATTATTATTATTATTGTTATTATTAAAGTTTGCATACTGCCTTTCATCCGAGGATCTCAGGGCAGTTGGCAGCATAGAATTAGAAGTTAAAAACACAAAATGCATAATAAAAGCAAGAACAAACCAAACCAATAACCCCCTGCCCAACACACACAGCTGAGGATTGGGGCCTTAGGCAAGACTTTAGGCTGCTGGATAAAGCCCATCTAGTCTTGCATCATGTTCTTACAGTGGGTGACTTGGTGTCTATGGGAAGCCTGAAAGCAGGAACTGGCATCCTTTGGGAGGAAGAACAACATCATCATCACCATCATGTCTGGCTTTCAGGTGCTGAAATGAAACCAACTGCAGGAACAGGGGCCTAGCCACTTTTAACTGCTTTGTTCAGATTCAATTTCACATTCATTTTTAATTGTCTTGTTACCTCCCTAAGCCTTCCGGAGGAGTGGAAAAATGGGAGGGATGGAGGAGATTCTCCCCTAATGTCTTTGCTGCAGCCCAGCCCAGGCAGAGATTCATTTTGCTCCTTGCCCTCTTCATCGCCTCTCCCGCTCTCAACCTGAAAATGGGTTCCCTTTGCTACCAGCAACGCAAACCAACCATGACCAATGCAAACTCAAACCCCGAACCAAATCGCAGGTTCTTCATTTTCACTTCAACTTGGTGGCAAAACATGCGTTAAGCCAAGGAAAAGCACACGAAATGGTATTATTTGGAAAATGTGGGGACTTTTGTATAGTCGTTGGCTTCTTAAATCAGTTCCACTTGCTTTGCATTTCTGTTCAGGGAAGTTTTTAATGTGTGACATTTTAATGTATTTTTAATCTTTGTTGGAAGCCGCCCAGAGTGGCGGGGGAAACCCAGGCACATGGGCGGGGTACAAATAATAAATTATTATTATTATTTTAAAATGTTGTCTGTTTATATTTCAAAAAGTACGTTGCAGAGACGATGGGACTGCCATAAATATTCTTCTAGGCTTATGGAGACTCAGTAGTAAAAAACAAACAAACCACCAAACTCTTTAAAAAAATATTTTTTTAAAAAAAGAAGGGGGGAGGAGAGAGAGAGAGAGAGATGTTGCTAATGCAAACAATGCAATTAGACATTAAGAAGAACTGGGAGTGGAAGAAAGGATGACCCGTTGCGATCAAGGATGTGCATAAAAAACAGGATTTTGGACATGTTCAGAATCAGGGACCTGAGCATTGAGAGGTTTTAATAGTACATTTCTAGGCCTTAGCGGTTTGGAAAGACAAGGGTGAAAACAAATGGGCAGTGTGGCAGATGAAGCTGATGGATTACATGGAATTGGCGGAAATGACTGGCAGAATCCGAGATCAGGGAGAAGAGTCGGTGGAAGAAGATTGGAAAAAATATAAAGTATATTTACAGAAACATTGCAAAATTAATGAATGTTAGAAGGATGCTGGAATGAAGTTACATGGTTTTAGTAGAAAGGTTATAAAGAACTAAGTAAAAATGGATTGTTAATGGGTCAAAGTGTAGAATTTAAGGCCAAATTGTGTTAAGATAAATTATAGAACAAAAATTGAGAAAGATGGAAAGGATTTGGTGAAATAGCTATTTGAATTAGAATACAAAAAAGGGAGGTGTGAGGAGGTCGATGAAACAAGTAAATGAAAGATAAAGATATGGAAATACTGGATATGTTTTTAAATGTTTTTGTTTTTAAATGTTTTTTGCTTTTCTTATTGTTTTGTTGTACTGTTTTTTTATTGTGCTTTTTATTTTTGAAGTATTGTAATTTTTATTGTCTTTTTTCTTTTTTCTGTAACTGTTAAACCTTTAATAAATATCATTAAAAAAAAGAAAACAAATGGGCAGTTCATGGTGAAATCAAAGCTTTGGAGGAAGGGAATGTGGGTAGGGAACAGAATTTACAGGGGCCCAGTCTCTTAGAGATCTCCTTGCCCATTCTCATGATTAACAGAACAAGCAGAATAAGTTGTGCTAAATAGGTCAACATCCATTTATAGCCCCAAACCAGGTTTTTTTAAAAAACAAAACAAAAGCTGGGCAAAACAGATTTATTTCCTGTGAAATCAGTGCCCCAAGATTGAGGGAGCCTCAGGTAAATAATATATTCAATGGTGACAAAAAGAATTTAGGATTTGAAAACAAAAAATCAAGATTCCTAACCGAATTGTTAGAAAGCAAAGTAAAATTGTTATCAAAAATGTATGATTTGTTGTTAGAATGGTATACAAAGGATGAAGCGACTAAACAAGTTATGATAAAATGGGCTATTGACTTTGGGTATAATACTGAATTTGAATCTTGGTCAAAACTGTGGAATGAAAGCTTAAAATCCACTGCTTGTCTGGCCCTAAAAGAGAATGTAATGAAAACGATGTACAGGTGGTATCTGACACCAGTGAAGCTGGCCAAAATGTATAGGATGAGGAATAAACTATGTTGGAAATGTAAAGAGAAAGATGGAGATTTTTATCATATGTAGTGGGAATGTGATAAAGTAAAAGCATTTTGGAAACTGATCTATAATGAGTTTAAAAAGATGTTCAGATAGACCTTCCCCCCCAAAACCAGAAGCATTTTTGCTGGGTTTGATGGGAGAAGAAATTGAAAAGATCAAAGACTATTTATGTACGTCACAACGGCGGCAAGAACTTTATTAGCCCAAAGGTGGAAAATACAGGAACTGCCAATGATTGAGGAGTGGCAGACGAAGATGATGGAATATGCGGAATTAGCCAAGCTGAAAGGCAGAGTCCGGAACCAAGACAACCAAAAATTTCAAAGAGACTGGAGTAAACTTATTGAGTGTATGAATAATTATTGCAAAAATGTGAAGACACTAGCGGGATTGAAATAAATCCTGCAACGAAAAAACTTGAAAACTTTCTAGACCAATGAGATAAAAGGATAAAAAGATCAGAGGTTGAAGATAGAAAGTGCGATATAAAGACTTGAAAACAAAATACTGGCTGAAGGGATGGAGGGAAGTCACAAACTCAACAGAGCGAAGAGGGTTTTTTTTGTTTTGTTATTGATATGTTGGAAATATTGTGTTAAAAAAGAAATTAATAAAAATTATATGGGGGGGGATTGAGGGAGCCTCCATGCGGGGTGGTTATGAAAAGGCTGACATGTAGAGTTTGAAAAACCATAGTTTGAAAAGCCACATCAGACATCGCTGACCAATGTCTAGAATGGATCTTCAAACAAGATATTGCACTAAACAATAGATAAGCTTTGTTCATCAAGGCTTGGCTCTTTGTGAGCCATTATTGATAGTCTTTGGAGAAGAAGCACAGATCATCTAATTAAACCTCTCTCTGTTATTATCACTTGATGATTTCAAACCAGGAAGCTCAGAACCCCAGGCCTTTATCTGGAGACGTTTAAAAAGAAGAAAACAACTTGCCTGTCATCTGGTCGTTTGGTGCCTCGTTCATACGCCGACGGGGGTGACAAAGAATCTCTGCGTTTTTTCTTTTCCTTGCTCTGACTTTGCCTTTCGGGGTCCCGTTCTCTGCTCAGGTTTTTTGGGGTAGCGGCTGGGTCTCGGCCTGCTGACTCTCTCCCACGATCTGCTGTCAAAAACAGGCAGAAGTTGTTAGCGTGGCTTATATCTCAACCACCAGAGGCGAAAGATCTGCCCAGAAAAAAGATTTCCTAGATAAGATTTCCTAGCCACTCCAGGAAAGTTATCTGTACAGGGTATGATCCAGCCAAACTTAAGCCATTTTTAGTGCCAATTATTTCAGAATGCTAAACTCTTCTTTGAATGAAATTCGTGCAATACTGAAGTGCGTAACACTGGGTGGATTGTTCCCGTTAGTATTTTAGACCTACAAGAGGTTTTCATTTATTTATTTTTAATAAAGGTAAAGGTGAAGGGACCCCTGACCATTAGGTCCAGTCATGGCCGACTCTGGGGTTGTGGCGCTCATCTCACTTTACTTACAGCTTCCGGGTCATGTGGCCAGCATGACTAAGCCACTTCTGGCGAACCAGAGCAGTGCACGGAAACACCGTTTACCTTCCCACTGGAGTGGTACCTCTTTATCTACTTGCACTTTTGTGCTTTCGAACTGCTAGGTTGGCAGGAGCAGGGACCGAGCAACGGGAGCTCAACCCATTGCGGGGATTCAAACCGCCGGCCTTCTGATCGGCAAGTCCTAGGCTCTGTGGTTTAACCCACAGCGCCACCCGCGTCCTGCAGAATCCTCAGAATACAGTTCTACAAAAACTTTTAAATTCCTGTTTAACTGCTTAAGAAAACGACTGTGGTTCAGACATCATGATAAACCACAGCAAGCCTTGGGCTCACCTCATTCTCTTTTGGTGTAGCCACAAGGGTGTTTGAAGTCTTTTGCTTATGTTCTTGAACAACCTCAGCTTATCGTTTTGTCCATTTGAAGTGGGTTTGTTTCAAACAAACCATAGTTGAGATTTAGAGCAGCTTGTCAAGTAAGGACAAAAGGAGAAGCTGCAGTTAAATCTTTAAAAAGCGTCCAAACGCCTTGCAGCTACATTGAAAAGGAACAGGAGCACAGGCTTTAGCAAGTCTGAGGCTTGCTTCAGCTTGTTTCTGTTATGATAAACCATGGTTTTGAGGTCAATGTGATATTATATAATATTTTGTTTTAACTCAAGTTTGATTCCCAGCCTCCTGCCTCCATTTATGCCACGAAGCCTCAACTTTTGGGGCAGAACTGACAGATCTGAAGCTGCAATAAACTGGAGGCGCGCTTGCAGTATTTCTGATCTTGGCCAAATTACAGACTATGCAGAAAGTCTCTAAACCTGGGGAATTCAACACTATGCCATTTACTTCTTTGTTCTGTCCCAAATAATCATTTGTAAACTGGTAGCCCTCATGGACCTGTACTCGAAAGTAGAATATTGTTCTCAGTGTGGAGAAGCGAGAAAAGTATGTGCGTGGGAGAGACAGCAACCAACCTGTGAAGGGATGATGAGCTGCTTGTGCGTAAAATCCTAGTCCCTCAGAGTTTGGCCAAGTCCACAAACCTCTGCCTACTACGGAGCCCCTCAAGCATGGCTCTGTCAGTCGCTAGCAGAATCCGAAAGTGGGCGCTTACGGAATCTCTTCCAGCATAAAAGCTCCTTAACGGAAACACGTCTTCGGGACTCTCGGCGTGACAGTTTCCGGCGAGGAGTGGGTGTCCCTATAGGAGGTCTTGAAACCTCCCCACTGTTTTCGCTGGAAGTGTCCCTGAGCCATCCCTCCGACTCACTTTCCCTCGGAGCTCCTCCTCTCCCCCTGCTGGTTCCCTCTTCAGCTGTTAAGTCTGTCTCAACCTCAGTGAGCCCTTCCACCTCCTGTCCTTCCGATGGCAGTTCCCTGACACAACCCAAGGAACTCGCAGAGCAATTCTGTGCATGGCAATAATCCAGATGTTGAGAATATTTAGTTCCAAGTAAAGGGGCAAAGGATGGAGCAAAGGTTTTAACAATCAACACGCTCTTTGTTGGCTTCACCCACAACAGTTTTCTTTATTAAGAGACTGAGTTATGAAATCAGGAAGACCCTGGTGCAAATGTCACCTCCGCTGTGAATTCACTACGTGACCTTCGGGCAAGTCATAGCTTTCGTTCCCCTCCCTGACCCCCCTGAATCTGATCTGAAACATGGAGATAGTAATACTGACCTACCATACAGAAGTGAGCCAAAAGAATCACATTAATGTAATTTATATGGAGTGCTTTCAACACCGTCAATCGTAAATCATTATTTAAGTCTCGTCTGTACACCTGAAGGCAAGCTACGTTAGCTCATGTATTTAAATATTTAACAAAATGTATATACCGTTTGATTGTACATAAACCCCTAAATGGATTACAAAATAACCCAAATGTTAAAATTGTCAGTAAAAGACAAAGTTAAAAAGTTTCTTTTTTAAAAAAAAACGATAACCAAGAATTGGCTAAAAACAGGTTAAAACACTTGCCAATTTCTATGTATCTGCATAGGCTTGTCTAAACAAAGATCTTTTTAGGTCCAAAAAAAAAAAGGGTACAGAGAAGATACCTGACTGATGCCGATATATTTTATTTAACAAAATCTATACAATGATTTATGGGATGCGGGTAGCGCTGTGGTGTAAACCACAGAGCCTAGGGCTTGCTGATCAGAAGGTCGGCGGTTCAAATCCCTACGATGGGGTGAGCTCCTGTTGCTCGGTCCCTGCTCCTGCCCACCTAGCAGTTCGAAAGCACGTCAAAGTGCAAGTAGATAAATAGGTACTGCTCCAGCGGGAAGGTAAACGGCGTTTTCGTGCGCTGCTCTGGTTCGCCAAAGTGGCTTAGTCATGCTGGCCACATGACCCAGAAGCTGTACGCCGGCTCCCTCGGCCAATAAAGCGAGATAAGCGCTGCAACCCCAGAGTCGTCCGCGACTGGACCTAACGGTCAGGCGTACCTTTAGCTTTAATAAGGATTTATATTTAAATGTAGGGAGATCTTGACTTGCAATGAACTCTGAGAAAAGGCAAGTACTTTTTGCTCCTGCTGAGGAACAAGTGCTGATTAACACCTGAGCTTGAACCACATGCCACCTCTAAGCCTGTCCTCCTCCCAGGCCTCAGGGAAGTCTTCTGTGGTCAAGCAAGGCTATGCTGTTTCAGTAGAGCCACAGGAAGAGAACAACGAAGGAAGAGAAGGATAGAACAAAGGAACATCCCTATAAAGTCATGCAGCGCCACTGAATCACAGAGTGCTTTTAAGGAAGTTCTACTCCAACGTCTCAGAGGATTATGCTCTGACAGGGGCTTTCAGTGCAAAGTTTTTGTAATCAATGGCCTTCTTCTCAACCTGATCAATACCCAAAGGAGGGCATCTACGAGTACATACCAGTGGTCTCCTTTTCCGCTTGGCTCTTCTTCGGGATCCTGTACACCTCCTGCAAAAACAAGTCACAGAAACTAAGTCAGGTTCGGCGGCTAATTTAGGCCAAATTCATACGCACAGGGCACATGAAGGTATCACAACTACAGAATCCTGAGCATTTCCTCAAACGATATTTAAAGACCATGGCTGCATCCTAGTGATCCTTCAAGCCATGGCTTGGGGAAACTGCAAATGAACCAAAAGCTTTAGCGGATGCCCCTCCAGCTGCCTCCGCTCTTGCACTATAGTTTGGACATAATGGAAAACCATGGTTTGGATGGCGATTGGCCAGAATTACAGCCCCTATCCTGTATCACAGAAAGAGAGAGGGAGCGGGAAGAAGGAAGAAGCTCAAGGCCATAGCTTGTTCACAATTTTATGACCTTTTGAAGTGCTGCATCTCCCAATGCTTTCCACTGTTGTTCATAATATATTTGTTTCTTGCTTTCAAGTAATAATTTATAATTGTACAGTGGTGCCCCGCAAGACGAATGCCTTGCAAGACGAAAAACCCGCTAAACGAAAGGGTTTTCCGTTTTTTGATGCGCTTCACAAGACGATTTTCCCTATGGGCTTGCTTCGCAAGACGGAAACGTCTTGCGAGTCTTGCGATTTTTTTCGCTCCCCCCCCCTTTTTCTAAGCCGCTAAGCCGCTAATAGCCGCTAAGCCTTTAATAGCCGCTAATCCGCTAATAGCGCTAATCCGCTAAGCTGCTAATAGGGTTGCTTCGCAAGACGAAAAAACCGCTAGACGAAGAGACTCGCGGAACGGATTATTTTCGTCTTGCGAGGCACCACTGTATTGTAATTGGGCTACCTCAGCTTGTAGAGCAAGATTGTGCTTATCCTGTTTTAACTTCAATTTTCTAAGTTCCCTAGCTAGGCATTTTTTGCTATTCTGACATTCCTTATCAAACCAAGTCTGTCTTTTAAACTTTTTGTTTTTTATCATACTAATTGTGGTCACCAGTGGGCGCATTCGGTTGATTATGTTCTCATAAAGTCCGATTATGTTTCCTGTTTCTATCAACATTTCCCCCTTTAATAAAGCAAATTCACGGGAATCCAGGATCTGAATCATTTTTTCTTGGACCTGTGCATTCCATTTTAACCTTCTATTTCCAAGTATCAGATATTCCGTTTCATCCAATAATTTAGGAAAGGCAGGAGAAACAAATGATGTCAGAGATAACTCAAGTATTTTTATGACCTATACAGTGGTGCAGACATGGGGGATCCTGAGGGCTACATTCAGTTCTTCCAGAGGTGGGACTAGACGAAAAAGCGAGTGGAGGAACTGAAATTATATCCATGTACAGTAGGCTAGGTCAGTGTTTCCCAACCGGTGTTCCGCGGCACACTAGTGTGCCGCCGGACGTTGCCTAGTGTGCCGTGGGAGGGAGGCGGGCGAGTCGGGCTAATCCTCCGGCCCCGCTCCCCCGGGGAACGTGCCCCGTCATCCGCTTCTGCCTTGCTCCCTGTGACAGGAATTCCCCAAACTGCATCAGCATCTGCCGCTTGCCCAGCAGCCCCGGCGCTGCCTTGCGCCCGGCGCCCCCGCCATCCTCGGCGCAGGGAGCGAGGGGCGCGCAGGCAGGCGCTGCCCGGCGGAGCGACGGCTCCTTCCGAGCGGCTGGCAGTGTCTGGGCATGACTGGCCTCCCGCCTGGTCCCGCGGCGGCTGCAGACGCGGCCGAAGCAGCGCAGGGAAGGAGACGCCCGGCCGCCCAGCCCCGCCCCGCACGCTCCCACTCTCTCTCGGCGGCCGGGGAGCGGGGCCAAAGCGGGCCCCCACCTGAGTGGCGGCTGCGTGAGCCAATAGGCGAGCTGGGGCAGAGGGGGAGGCGGGGCTCCGGAGAACAAAGGAGGGAGGGGGCACCCGGGAGAAGGGGGCGGGGCGGGAGGAGCGGGGAGCGCGGCGCTGCGCCCGGGACGCCCCAGTTCCGCCGGGTTAGAAGCCGGCGGCCTACCTCTGCTGGCCGTGGAAGGCAGCCGGGTCTGGGTCGCGCCCCGAGAGTGGCGGGGTCCGCGCACAGCCTGCCCTCCAGGCTGGGAAGTGGCTCCTAGGCTCCGCCTGAAGCCACGCAGAGCCCGCAAGGCGCCCTCGGCGCAACTTGGCCGGGGCAAAAGGCGAAGCTCTGGAGGGAAAGGCGGCCGGATTCCCCTCCTCGGCGGGTCCGGTGGTCTCCCGCCTCCTCTGAGGAAGGGTCTCTTCTTCAGCTTTTCTGATCCTTCGTGGCCCCGTTGGGAGAAGCCGAAATAAATAATGGCCGTGCCATTAAAGTTCTCTCTTTTATAAAAGGGATCCTAATAGAATCGTAGAGTTGGAAGGGATCCCCAGGGCTATCCAGTACTGTACAACCCCTGCAGTGCAGGAATCTCAGCCATAGCATCCATGGCAGACAGACATCCCACCTCTGCTTAAAAACCTCCAAGAAGGGAAAAACCTCCCGAGGGAGACCATTCCCCTGTTGAACAGCCCTTACCAGCAGAAAGTTCTTTCCCATGTTTAGTCAAAATCTTTATTGTAACGTGAATCCACTGGTTCGAGTCCTACCTTCTCTACCTTCTATGCTGTTACTATTTTTTTATTTTTTTTTACATAAGTAAAAAGTGACCTTTCCCCATCTGGCATGGTGGTGTGCCTCGAGATTTTTTTCATGAAACAAGTGTGCCTTTGCCCAAAAAAGGTTGGGAAACACTGGGCTAGGCTTTACACACACTCATACACCCCTTTCTATCCCCCATCCAGGTGAACAAGAGGCGTAGTTCAAACACGTAATCCAACTAGGAAAAAGCAGAGCTGTGGCCTGGGAAGGGTTCTGGGGGGTCAGATAGGTTGTATTCACCCCCTGGGCCTGAGGTTAAGGATCATCTGATTTCATTAAGAGTTAGGTGAACTGTTGTCAAGGGGATGGAACTGTGCCTATTTGTCACCCAAAGGCACCAGTGATCCTCATCTCAGCTTTTGCAATTAAACCAGAATGCGGCAGCTAGACTGGTGACTGGGAGTGGCTGCCAAGACCATATAACACCGGTCCTGAAAGATCTTCATTGGCTCCCAGTTTCCGGGCACAATTCAAAGTGTTGTTGCTGACCTTTCAAGCCCTAAACGGCCTTGGTCCTGTAAACCTGAAGGAGTGTCTCCACCCCTATCATCCAGCCCGGACACTGCGGTCCAGCACCGAGGGCCTTCTGGCGGTTACCTCCCTGAGAGAAGTGAGGTTACAGGGAACCAGGCAGAGGGCCTTCTCGGTAGTGGCACCTGCCCTGTGGAATGCCCTCCCAGGAGACGTCAAGGCAATAAACAACTATTTTACTTTTAAAAGACAACTGAAGGCGGCCCTGTTTAGGGAACCTTTTAATGTCCGACGCTGTATTGTTTTTAATATTCGGTTGGAAGCCGCCCAGACTGGCTGGGGAAACTCAGCCAGATGAGTGGGGTATAAATAATAAATTATTATTATTATTTGCTTGTTCATGCTGCTGGAACAGGCACAGAGGGCCATTATCATACCTAGATTTGGAAGTGACCAACCTTGTGGGCTCTGCAACTTTCAAGGGCTGAACAGAGGGAACAGCAAATTGCTGTCTGTGTAAGCCATTTCTTTATACTTATTTTATCCCTATGCTCTACCCCCTACGCTCAACAGCAAGGCAGTATAGGGCAAGGTTAAGGATTGGGGGGCGGGGGGGAAGAGAGGGCGCTTGAATGTAACATTAACTTAGTACTGGATTTGTTGCTAGCAGACAGAGGATCATTTGTTGTCCTTTAAAAACCAAAGCGAGCAGGCGGTTGGTGATCTCCTCTGAGCCTCAGAGGAAAGGGTTAGAGAGAACAAAGTCAAAGAGTCATTAATTGTAAAATTAAAACAGAAAATTAAAAGCTCTCCCGAGGGAGGCTTGCCCGGCGCCTTCATTACATATCTCTAGGCACCAGGCAAATACTTTTCTCTTTAACCAGGCGTTCGGCTGATTAGCATTTTATGTCCTTTTGTGTTTGTGGGGAAGGTTAATTGGTTTTGTTTTGTTTTTATTATGTATTTTATTTTACACACACACACACACACATATATATATATATATATATATATATATATATATATATATATATGTTGTGAATCACCCTGAGATCTTTAGATGATGGATGGTATACAAATCAAATCAAATAATAAAGCCGAACAATTCTGAATAGAAGGAGGAAATGGGAGATTGCTGGCATTAGCTTGGAGAAAGCGGAATGGAAGACTGCAAGGCTACACAGCACATTGTGCCAACCATTTTAGTTTTGGGATGAATAGTTAGGGCTACATCCTGCTAATCAGCAGCAATCAGCGTGTGTGGCATTTTACAAAGTACAAGAACAGAACCCTGATGCAGGGATTGAAAGGACTTTACAATCTCTAATTTGGTATCTGAAGAAGTGTGCATGCACACGAAAGCTTACACCAAGAACAAACTTAGTTGGTCTCTAAGGTGCTACTGGACAATTTTAAAGATAGATAGATAGATAGATAGATAGATAGATAGATAGATAGATAGATAGATAGATATAGATATAGATATAGAGATAGAGATAGATAGATATAGATATATAGACAAAGAAGAGTGTGAACCTATTTCCGTTTCCCTAGAAACAAGTGGTCCCTACAGATGTTGTTGGACACAAGTGGTCCCTACAGATGTTGTTGGACACAAGTGGTCCCTACAGATGTTGTTGGACCAGTTCCAGGCAACGGTCCAGGAAGGATGGAGGTTGTACACCAACAACATCTGAAAGCAGACAGGTTCCACACAAACAGATCACAGCCACGTTCTTCGACCAGGGCAGGAAGACATCAGATCTTCCCCTGGCTAAGCTGTTTAAGGGCTCAATACCCCACTTTTGATTGTACCTTCCTTCTTAGAAGATATCAGCTGCAGCCCCTCTTGAGCAAAGGTGGCTGCAAAGGGGGAGGCCTCTAACAAATCTTCTCTTTCCCGAAGTTTTCTGGTTCAGAATTGCTGCTTCACG